CTTGACTCTTTCTAGCAGATTTAGGAATTGATTTGCATCGATTTACTGCATGGTGTTTAAACATGCTGTGCTAGACGAGCAAAACGAGCCAACTGAAAGCTACTGCTGTGTGGGCAAGAGTGAAAACAGGAAGAGCAAGATATAGATATTGCTGTCAGCACAGTTCATGGAGAGCAACCATTTCCCCCTTCACTCTGAGAAATAGGCATTTAGGCTTTGCATGACTAAGAGCATGGCATTATCTTTTCTTTAATTCTTGCTTGTTGTTACCTAGCTGTTGTCTTTTTATTTGAATGACAAACCAGCACTGATGAGGAAATACAGCTTGCTTCTTTTTTTTTTCTTTTTCTTTTTTTTTTTTCCTGTGGACAAATGCCTGTGTAGAGGAGCAGTGAAGCTCAGCTTAGTTGTTATTTTAAGCATCTAATTTTTGCTGCTTGACCTGTGTGACTGAGTTAAGGTCACAGGAAAGTTTATCTTTTTTTTTTTTCAGCTGAGAAGATGTGCTTTTCGCTGATGCTAATAATTTCGATTTCTGGGACTGGAAATAAAGATAAAAAGGCACCTTAATTCTATCCACTGTCTTCTCAGAGGAATTCTCTTAGCTCCTTCTGTTATAAGCATCATCCTTTGGTTTTCTCTTCAAAAATAAGGACATCAATTATCTCATGAAGGACAGCAGCACAGGGTGTTTTCTAGTAGAAGGATGAGTACAGCATAGCTGTCAGTCCTGCTGCATTCTTAGTTTATACAATGCCATTAGGCTGACTGTCATCTCTTTTGTGTTGTTACTTGCAGTTATTTTATATACTGGGAGTAGTTGATATGGTGCAGGGCAAGGCTGCCATCATCCCAGAAGGAATGGACAAGAATCTGGGTGACATGAGCATCATGAAGTTCAAGAATTCAAACGTGAAGTCCTGCACCTTGTAAACAGTGACACCATGCAGCAGTACAAACTGGGGACAGGCTGGCTAGAAACTAGCTTTATATAAGAGGACCTAGAGGTCTTGATGGACATCGAGCTAAATGTGAGTCAAGAATGTGCCACTGCATGAGTGAGAGCCAAGCACAGAAGACAGTGGGCTGCATTAGTAACAGCAGAGGCAGCAGGTTGAGGTAAATGATTGTTTTCTTCTATTCTATGCTTGTGAAGCCACATCTGGCATAATGTGACCAGTTCTGGCTCACCAGTAGGAAAACAAGTTGATAAACAGAGGCAGTGTTAGTGGGTGGCCACTCATGTGGCCAGGGAGCAGAGGTACAAAATGTACAAGGACAAGCTGAGGGAGCTGGGTATATTCAGCCTTACGAAGAGAAGGCTGCATAGTAGGGGCTAACAGAGAAAGAGCTTGGAGACTTAATTGCCACTTGATTCTCAGAACTCCCTCAGTAAGCTCCCTCTTCCCATGCCTGGAAAAGCGCACATGACTGTGATACAGCTGAGAGGATCAGAAATAGCAGAAAAGGAATAGGCCTGTAGGATTGCTCTGGAAGGTTCCCAGTGAGCCAGTGTACTCCCGCTGCATGCCCCTGAGCCCCTGCAAAATGTTTCCATCTCTTCACCTATGCCAGTGTGGGATAAACTGCTTGTGTGGCCCTGGTCCAACAGATAGGGCCAACCCCTGTTGAGGGCCGACCATAGGCGGCAGGAGAAGTGGGAACACCTCCAAACTGTCATAAGAGGGTAAACTGTCTGACACAGGAATCAGTGGGCAGGTTGCTGCTGCTTCACAGCTCTGCCTGTATCTGACAATCTGTCACTTACAGAGAGAATTAAAAAATGGCCTGTGTTGCTGACCGAGGGGAGGAGAGCAGGGCCTTTGCAGTGAGTGTGATCAGCAGGTGCTGGCATGTGTTCCCCCAGTGATGTCATCTGCAGCAGAGTTGCCTGGAGAATATCAGGCTGCTTATCTCAGCCTCAGCTCATCCTTGCTGTAATGCAGGAAAGATCACGCTTGTTGCTACTGCACAAGGCTCCCTCAAAGCCTGCCCAGCAGCTGCAAATGAATATGGAAGGAAAAAGAACTGAAACTCGAAGCCAGTAATGCAAAGAAAAGCAATGCAGCTGCAACATGTTATCACACTGAGAACATGTACACTTGCCAAATACATTCTGCCCCTTTTCCCTGAGCAGATAATCCACAGGGAAACCAAGGTATTGCTGCTGCTGTCAGCTAATAAGGCTGTTCCTTTAGTTCTCACTGACAGGTCTGGGGCTGGAGTTCCTGGAGTCTTTCCCTGCCTGTGTTCCCATGCAGGGGGATGATGCTCTGTCCCTAAGCTTCCCTTGTTCGTATATTTTCCCTTAAAAATAAGAAAGCTTGTCACGAGGAGACAAAAGATATAGTTGAAAAGATGACAACTTTGTCACTTTTGCTTCCCTCATAATGGTGTGTGAGTTTTCTCGGAGGGAGTCAGGGAGCTCTGGGATCCTGAGGGCAAAGCTTCACGAGGTCCTTCACACTGATGTTGTTCTACTCTGTTGCCCTTCTGCAGAGCAAGGACAGTGATTTTCAGCTAATGGAGCACTAGAATACTTTGTATTAGCTTACCCAATTGCTTGGTATATTCATAATATACCTGCTCTAATAAACAGATAAAAGGGCTTTATTTTCTCTGTTCCTAGAATTCAGATACTTTCACCAATGCCTCCTTCAACAAAGCAATTTTTACATAACAGAAAATGCCGCTGGGATTTTATTTCTATTTCTTCTGATAGGAAACGTTCTGACTTCATAATAGCATGGCATAGCCGGTCGCACTTTCAATACCAGTGTAAGCAGTACCTATATTGCACTACCAGTGATCATATGATACCTCTACACATTTCTGCAAAGCTCATCTGCAATCTCAAGTATTTTCCTGCTCCCTTGTAAGGCCTGAGCAAAAGGACAGCCTGATGGAAACATGTTCTAGGGAAGAATTGTTCTGGATGTTTGCAGGATTCTTTGGTCTGCATTAGAGTACCAGCATACAGTTACACTGGCAGAAGGGTGGAGGCAGCCACCGCATCCCAATGACTCTGAAAGGCTTGCAACCAAATTGCAGCACTGCTCCATGTGTTTTAACTGGGTCACGGAGTGAAAGCCATTTGAATTCTTCATGCTCTGCATCTTTCAAGTAACTGCATTTTAAAGACTCGTTTTCATGTTCATTTTCCTACTTACATGTTTAAAACTTAGTTTGGAGTGATGCAAAAAGAGGCATATCTCAATCAAATCTGAATATGAAACCAAGCGTCAGTATAAAATTGACCCTACATTACAACTTCAGACGTTACAGTTTTTTGCATTACACTTTTAAGGAGGTGAAAAACAAAGGACTCCACCTTATAAACACATCTCTGCCAAAAATGAAAGTTTTCCAATGAAGGGCAGAACAAGATGCTGCTTCATGCATCCATGTCTTTGAAACACTGTTTTTTAAACCAAGGCAAAGACTCAGTGCTTACACTGCTTTGTCTGACACAGATCCCATCCAGCTTCTCTGTCATCCAGCTTTTTGCCATTTTGCCAAAACATGGCTCCTAAAATCAGTCCTGTTCTCTCCAACCACTGGGACTGACGTGACCTTCATTGAAATTAAGTGAGGCTTTGTACTGGAATGAGATTTAAAGCAGAGGGCAGGGGCTACCAAGTTCTTCTCCTGACTGTACCCACAGCCTTTGCTGCACGTGTTTACAGTCAGTCAGTGTTTGACATGTCTGTGCTTCAGTTGGCCTGCATGCCTCAAAGTCCTCTTCCTTAAACCCAATGGAGTGTGAGCATCCACGTGGGTTGGACTAGATGATCTCCAGAGGTCCTTTCCAACCTCTATCATTCTGCGATTCTGTGATCCAGCTCAGGTCTTCCTCTCCATCTTCTGCAAGCAAAAATGGGAATTACAGCTAAGCAGAAATTGGGAAGGAGTTGTGTCAGATTCACTTGTTGGCATGGTGGTAGAAGTTGCTCTTGCAGCAATGGGGCAGCCTTGCTAAGATGAACTATTGAGAGTGTTTTAATTGGCAGGGACAGTGGCTGTAAGAAAAATGGGGCTGTTGGGTTGGACAGAACAGAGAAGAGGCTCTGAAGATGAGGTCAAGGAAAAAGAAGCTGAACTAGACCAGTGATTCAAAGCAGATGGCACTCTTCAAATGATGAGACAGGAGAGGCAGCTTCAGAAGTGAGACAGAAAGATACCTGGGCAGCAAAAAAAAGGCTAATAAATGAATGATATGTATTTTATTGCAGAAAAATGCAGCAAAAGAATTTAATTACAGTCATGATTTATTAAAATGAGCTGGGAAGCGTCCCAGTTCAGAGAGGCTTTTTATAGAGGAGGCAGCCAACATATTGCCTATCAAATTAGCAAGAGAGATTTGTGGACATAAGATGTGGAAAATGGCAGCCACAGGGTGAATGGAAATGTGTCTGCAAATCACATTTTGACAAATGAGGGAGAAGACTGTCTTGGCTTGTCACAGCCACTCCCCTGTCTGTGTCTGTTTCTTTTCTCCCAACCCAGAGCAGAAGCATTTGTCCCTTCAAACAGCTGTCCTGCATTTGGTTCTTTCCATGCTGTGAAGTTCATCAATATTCATCAGCACTGGAGAGGCAGGAAGACTAATTTTCAGCTGAGGCAGCTGGGTGACTCACTGTCAGCACTGACACCAGCAGCAAGGCCAGATTCTTTGCCTCTCAGCATATCCCACCATCCTACTGTGGGAAATCTGCACAGCCACTGCAGTAATGCTAGCAGAAATGACCCGCAACAGTGGCTGCTCTTTTGTTAGCATGCTTTATGTTGATGCCTGCAGCAAATCCCTTTAGGTTTGAGGGCTGTGACCCAACATGGACTCCAGTAGTGTCTGTGTGGGTGGTGGCAGGTCCAGGAGGATGTCCACTTAGTCATGTCTGGAGGGTGACAAATGACATCACCTTTGACAGGTTCGGCTGACTCATGCTGGCTCCGATAGATTAGAAATGATTCCAGTCTAACCACGTATTCTTCTTCATCAGATAGCCAGCAGAGGTGAATATTGCACCCCTCTGAGGAGAAGAAAATCCCACAGGCAAGCAGAGAGCAAGATTGACATTTCTCATTATTTCTGTACTGCAGGTAATACATATATATATACATATACATATATATATATATATATATATATATTTTTTTTTTTTTTTCCCTGGGAGCCCTTCAAACCAAGTGAATGAAGACATATCTTCTGTACAGTCCGCAACACTCCAAAAGGTCCAATCTGTCCTGCAGAATTTCCACTGATTTTGCTGTAGCCCTCAGGCTGTAACTCGGGTGTGATCTCAGGCACACACTGTGGCTACCCCAAAATCTCAAATTTTGCTTTGACCAAGAATTTACCATACTGAATAGAAACTATTCCTGGAACAACAACATCTTTTCCCACTTGCAAATCTCCATCTAATCTGATCATCCTTATCCATAAGCAGAGAGAAAGAAGAGCAAAGATATAAACCCCAAAGGTTAAGTATGTATTTTTTGCAACTGTTTAATGTTTAGCATTCTCATGTTGTGAAGAACATGCAAACTTTCTGCATTCTTTCTATTAGGTGCATTTGTCACCAAACCAGACTTGCTGTCAGTTTGGGATGTAAACTGACCCAGTGTCATTGCAATTTGCATGTTTTCATGTGTGAGTTTGGTTTGCTTTTGGCATACAAGCACTTACAGCTGATCCAAAGTAATTCAAAAGCTCAGCCAGATGCTTCTGTGAATCTCTTCTATGTTTAGAAATGGAAATGAAGCACAAAACCAGGTGCTGTCCTGAATTATGGATTTTATTCTTCATATTAAAGTGTTTACATGTCTTCTAGTTTATCATTTTTGAAGAAGATAAGAGGTAAAATACGAAGTTCTCCCCAACAAAGGGGACTCCAGTAACTGCTATTACAGGTCCTTTCCAATTCAACAGCACCTTTTGAGCTGACATCAGAAGGGGTGAGTGAGGGCTGTATGGAGTACAAGGAGCCAACACTGCTAATAAAACAGAAATTTCACCACAGATTTTGAGAAATTCTCTGTATTGCATTATGCAGGAGATCAGAAAAGATTTTCAGGGTCTTTTCCACGAACTCTTGCAACTTACTCTGGGGAACCAGTATTATCAGGTGAGTCTGGACAAGGTGATCTCCAGAGGTCTCTTCCAACCCCTACAGTTCTGTGATTCTGATTCTAATCTCATGAAGAACGTGGGACTAACATTTCTGAGTTTAAGAATCAGAGGTTTTTTTTCCAAGCCATTTTATGAGGAGGCAAGAAACACTTTGATTTAGCTTTCTGGTCTGAAAATACCAATAGTTTGTTGCATTTTTTGAAAAGAGCCACAGGAATCATAGATCAAAGAACCATAGAATATCTTGGGTTGGAAGGGACCACAAAGTTCCAACCCTCTGCAGTGAGCAGGGCTGCCCCCCACCAGTTCTGACTGCCCAGGGTCCCATCCAGCCTGGCCTTGAAGGCTTCCAGGGCTGGGGCACCACAGCTTCTCTGAGTGCCTCGCCACCTGAGTAAAAAATTTCTGCCTAGCATCTAACCCAAATCTCCCCACTCTTAGTTTAAAGCCATTTTCCCTCATCCTGTCACTCTTAGACTGTGTAAAATGTTGATTTCCCTCCTGTTTATAAACTCCTCTCAAGTACTGGAAAGCCACAGTGAGGTGTCCCTGGAGCCTCCTCTTCTCCAGGCTGAGCAAGCCCAGCTCCCTCAGCCTTTCTTCACGGGAGAGGTGCTCCAGCTCTCTGACCATCTTCGTGGCTCTTGTCTGGACACTCTCCAACAGCTCCACATCTTTCTTGTGCTGGAGGGCCCAGGTCTGGATGCAATACTGGGCCTCATGAGGGGAATAATCACCTCCTTCTCCCTGTTGGCCACCCAACTGCTGATGTTGCCTAGGATACTGTTGGCCTTCTGGGCTGCAAGTGCACACTGATGGCACATATCAAGCCTTTTATCTACCAGAGACCCTGGGTCCTCCTCCGTGGGGCTGCCCTCAATGAGTTCTTCTCCCAGCCTGTACACATATCAGGAATTACCCTGACCTGAGTGCAATACCTTGGTCAAGCCATTGCTCTCATGGCTACGGGTTTGTTGTTTAGACACAATAATGTACAGATGGGCTTTCCATTTATCAAGAGTAATTACCAGCTGAGATGCTGAGTGGAGGGAAACTGTTATTGTCACGACTGACCAGAGTCTGGCAGCATTCTTTGTTGTTTGTGGCTTGTTCTAGAAACTAGTTTTCAGCAATTAAACTGACTTCTTTGTAAGCTGAGCTCAGAAGATGGATGCCAGTAATGGGAAAAGGGACACAGCTCAAGGCAAAAGGTTTAACCCTCTGCCTCTCGGTAAATTGCAGGAAATCCACCATCATTTTATTTGCAGCAATTACAGGTGAACAATATAGCTCTGTGTAGGATTTCTTGCCTTTGAGGCACATTTAGTTAATTATTATCTCTTAATTTATTTTCTACTCTGGAATAGGTCTTGCTGTGGGAAGCGGGGTATAGGAAAAATGAACTGGTACTTTTCAGTGACAAAGCTTCAAATATGGCATTGTTTTTCATACTTGCAATATTCAGCCACAGTATCCACAAGGGAGGTACCATAATTGCAAAATGCTATTTAAAATAATGGCGTGTTTTATAAGAGCTTCCAATGTCTCTCATAATATTTGCAGATAATCTCAGTTTGTCAATCTGTCAAGTAATTATTCTCCATCTGTGATATCCACTGATAACCAGTTAGACTTTTAAATTCATTTTTAACAACACTGGTGAGCTCATCACTCGCCTGTTGAAAGAACAGAACACAAACATTAAAACAGTGCAAAGGCAATGTATTTATTATTGTAGCATGCAGCCAAACCTGCGTAATAGCTACTAATTAAAGTGTTAAGGCCTTAATTTTAGAAAGACAGAGATGCTTTCTGCTTTTGTACAGTACCATACACACATCATTTTTATGCTTTGCTTTCTGTGATTAGTGACCAAGGTCTGGCATGAGAATATTTTACTTAATCAGCTGCATGCATTAAATACCAGCAGCTGCAATTAGACATTCTTTTGTGTCAGATATTATGCCTCACGCTGCTATTTGCTCCTGACCTCAGATCCCTGAGCGGCAGGCACTTCTGCTGTCTTTGGAGATGAGCACAGTGAAATCTAAAATTCTTTTTTTCACAGCCTGGACATTGGCAGATGTGCATTCTCATTTTTGCCCCACAGCCCAAACAGAGCAACTTTAAAGTGCAGCAGAAGTTCCTTTAAAAAACAGACTGGGAAGGAAAGGCGAGAATGAACAAAACCTCTGCCCCATGCCATAACACTTTCGAGTACAGTGTTGGTTTGCGATGCTTAAGAATCACTTTGCATGTTACACATTAGCACTGAGTACCTAAAACAAGAGATCTGAGCTTTCCATTTGCTTTGCACGTCTATTTTATCGGGTCCTGTGCTCGTAGCATCATTTTTTCCTAGCTGCAGTATCACTACCGGACGCTAGAGAGCTCCTTTTACCAAAGACATCTCTCAAACGCGAGGGCAGAACCCTGTGAGGTGCGTACAGAGCATTCCTCCTTTTTTTATATCGCACAGTTTTACTCATTTTTCATTTTTATGTTAAAAATTAATATTCTCAAGGGAAAGCTATCTTTGCCAGAAAGAGCAATGGCTGCAGCTGTAGCTCCACGTCTCCTACCCCCAACAACAGAGATTCCATAGGAGTAGTAACTTGGGAACTAATTATACAATTTCAGAGATAAGAAAAAGTAAATCAAATGCTGCCAGCATGGAAATTATAATTAAGTTTTCCTCTGAATAACAAATACACTCCGTATGTAATTTATTATGACTATTACTATATTAATAATAGTAATAGCCTATGCCATGCACCTATGGAGAGTACATGTTTTTGTCTAAATTGCTGGGTTATAGTTGCAGATGCAGTATGAATGCCAAACAGCTCTCTGCAGTCATTCTGCTGATAACCTTAAGCCTTACAACACCCAAGCTATTCCTAAACACTACTCTATTAGCAAGTGATATAACAAGATGATGACTGGATCTGCTTTTTTTATTAGCTGTGTTTGACCCGTTCCCCCAGTCGCCTTTACACTATCAATCATTTATTCAAAACCAAAACAAAATCTTCTATGCTGTCACTGTAAGGGCATATGAATTCCTGCTTCTCTGATTTTGGCATAAGCACAGTCTGCTGCAAAATGCTGCAATGATGTGACATCTTATCATATTGCCCATTAGGGATTTTGCATTAGGATTGTTTTACAGATAGCTGCGTCCTGAGGTCAGCAGTGCGAGGGCACAACATTTTGTCTCCAAAGCAAAGCCCTGTCCCTCTCCTACCTCAGAATCTTGGAGTGCAAAATTGAAAAAGCCCGTAGGAAAACTTCAGAAAGGCTGAGGAAAGCCTTGCTCCAGCTCTCCCTGTGCTCCATTGTGGTTCTTGGCAAGGGCAAAGAAGTACCTCCTTCTATGAAGAGCTGTAACAACAGCTTTCACTGCAGTGCTTCCCAGTAGCACCAGCATGCCATCACCTACGTCCTTTGCTCTTGCCTACTCATCCCAGCATGAACTGGGAACACAAGAACCAGTGAAATCCAGAGTGTAGAGCCACCCCTCCTCAATCAGTTGTGTGCCTCAGAGGGAGGAGTGGGCCTTGCAGGTGTGCTGTCAGCTCCTGCCTGTGTTCCCTGCCTAAGATAGCTTTAGGCACACCTCCTAACTTTCCTGCACCTCCGCTCCTTCAGATTTTTTGAATGGTGGAATTAAAAGTCTTATTTTCTTTCACTATTTCTTTGCCTTGTTCCCCTGCTCAATCTGGGATCTGATTGGTTTTACCTAGAAAGCCAGATAAATGATGTTCTGAATTTTGAGGGAGTCTTTCTCCCAGGACAGCCCAACTGTATTAATGCCAGTGAGCTGAAATGTTCCATTAACATCTCTTTATTTTCTTTCCAAAACCAGCAAGTGACAATAGTAGCTGAGCCAGACTTTAATGGTAGCTTTTCTTTGTTGTTTT